CCTCCTCTTACGGCGCATACCCATTGATACTGTGTTGCAGGCGAGGGGGTTCTCCTTCCCCTCCCGTTGTTATTGTTGTGCTGAGACATGCATTTTGGAGACCGAGACATTCACCCACCTATTCCTTGAGAGTGAGACTGTGAGGAAAGTGTGGGAGCATTATTCCAGATATACAAATATACCCCTACTCACTACAGAGAATTTCTTTTAGCTCGTGAGTTTTTTCTCACACCGCACACACAGTAGACACGTGGGCTTCCTTATTCATTGTCTGATCCTTTGGTCCACTTGGACAGAGAGGAATAATGCGAAGCATAGGGATATTACATTTTCTTGCTCTCACATTATTTTGCAGGTTGACAGATATCACGCTCTCCTCACTGCTTTGGGCAGACTCACGACGAGAGACTGGACAGGTTGTACCGAAACTCTAGCTAAGCTAGGTGTTTTCGGCAATTCGATAAATTATTAAAGTATAGTATAGTTATTTATTAATTGGCTATACGGTTTCAGTCAGTATTTCAGCAGAGTCAGTTATTTGTATGCTCTACCATTGACTTTTCTGTAGACAGAGCGGAATATAACTCTAGTAACAACCTCGATTATGTTGAGGTCAAGTACCTTTTACTACATATCGAGTATGACTGTGGCGATATATTAGAGCCATACGATCAATTCCAAACCTTAGAGTTAAAACAAAGTAAATTCTACATTTCAGTAAATTCTGCCAGAAATGGCAGGACCCAACAAGCAATAGCCGATCCAAGTTCAACAAGGAGGAGGAAATGCCGACGCCTAAGCCCGTCACCACTAGAAGCATAAGTCCAGAAGACTCAAGAAGATTCATGTAGTTTAATTATCTCTATTTCGTGAACCTGCAATATTTTTGTTCTGGGAATTTCTGCATACTTCTGAAACTCCGTTAAAAATTCAAGTTGAGATTGAAATTTCAGTGCATTCCATAATAGAAAGACCGCAAAAATCGAGTTATTGCTATAATTCGACACTTGCGAAAGATAGATTAATAAGCCAATTGATTGCAACACATAGGTAAAGCAGTGGACTTTCCATTGTTTGAACTATGTAAGCTTTAAGATAAGTTTTAACCCTAGAGGTTACCTCACTTGAGCTGACAAGATGTTGTCCAACTAGTATTATAAGTAAAAGATTTTCAATGTATAAGAGTTATAGATCCGGGTAAGTCCTGGAGGCTTGAAGTAAAAGCCATAAGTCCGGGACAAACCATTGAGGCTTGAAGTTGAACCATAGCAGGCATATTTTCTATATGAGGTGATCTCTAGTAGTTAGAAAAGTAGGAGACCCATTTTGAAGGAAGCTAGAGCGAGGAATCGCACGTCGAGCCATGTCTTAACATCGAGACCTCATTCGTCTTGAGAGGGAGCCACCTCCCAAGGAAGTTCCAACACTGTGAGAATACTCAGACGATAGTTCACAGAGAACTTAATGAAAGCCGAGTGGAAGTTAAGTTAGCATGTTTAAGAAGACGAATACTTATAAATTTTGCATACCTATGTCGAATGCCATAACTCTCGAGTTGGAAAGTGTGGGCAGATGGACGATATGCTGATAGAAAAATTCTAAAAGCCATGAAGAGAGAGAACACTTCACTGACAACGTCCGAAGAGTTACCATTGTTAGAAATCACGCGTACGTATTTTTAAAATGTTACCGAGAAGACCACCTGACCGACAAATGAAATTTGATTGACCTGATGAAGGAGAAGGACACGTGTCAAGAGCGCCAAACCGAGAGACTCCAAGAAGCTGCAATAGCTGAAGACCCAGACGCCAGGAAGCTACAAGAGTTGAAGACACAGACGCCAAGAAGCTGCAAGAACTGAAGACCCAAATCCAAATTGTGAATTGTTGGACCAAGAGCGTCACCCTAGAGTGCGCCCGATGGTTTGTGAAGAAAGGAGATGTGCACCAATTACCAAAAGTTATGTAGAGTCAAGGAGGAGAGTAAGTACTCACCTTTGAGAGTCGAAAAATTGTCGACCCATGCGGGAAGACAACAAGTTCCAAGATTGAACTTAAAGCTTGGACATCCTTTATGATAAATTAAGGAGCCCGAAGCCTCAAGATCAGAAAGAACAAGAAAGTTGAGGTGATGAAGTCATCTCTAAGTACTAGTAGCGTACGACATCACTAACTTTAGATTGGACGTTGAGGGAAGAAAGAACAGAAAAAGCCTCAACATTGAAATTTTAAGTACCCTTGGGTAAATTTAACCCATATAAGTAGTGAGACCCTCAATTTGTA